GGGTGGGAGGGGGGGAGGTTATTGACCTTCCAAGGAATAGAGCCTTAGGTATGGTAGCTTCATAATAAGCTGTATCAAGTACATGTTAAGTGAATAGGTCTTAGACTTGAAGCAGGACAGGCAAAATACTCTTAAATTGTAAGAAGAAATGCTAGAATTTCTACTTATGTTTAGTTATAAATCTCACCCTTTCATTATTTTAATGTGTTTCACAATGTAGATAATGTGTCCTTATATATTACATGTTATTGTGTCTTCTAACTAAGGTGTTAAAGGACTCACTATTGGCAGAATAATCTGTCTTGTCACATCTCTTTCTGATCCGGCCACTCTGGCTCCAGTTGCCATTCTGCTCATCTGCCTCATGCTGATCTGTTCGGTACTATAGCCTCTACTGGGTCACACTGGCCACTCTACCTTTCCAACCTATCTTTTAAATCAGTTCTCATTGCTCTTTGCTATGATCTGTAGCTCTCTAAATTAGCAGTCATCATGAAAAATGTCTGCCTCTGTTTTGAACAGGAAGGGATAGTTTCCATGTAGCATAGCATTCTGAGAATTTTTTCTTGAAGATTCCAAAAAAAACCAAATCTTTGTCAATGATGTCTTCCTATTTTAAAAGTAAATAGCCCTTCACAAGCCCCCTTTTCCTCCAACTCCTTCCTAATGCAGATTATGAAGCCATTTATAAATAATGAAGAAATAGCAATTATACAGCGAAAGAAAAAAATAAAAATCATTTAAAATAAAAGATGTTCTATAAGGGTTATATACAGATAAAAGTTTAAAAAATGGAATCATGTTAAAATAATATATTAAGGGAGCTTGCTTTTTAAAGTTATTTTCATGTAATTGTTTTTATAAAACCAAGAATTATTTTCATATAAATGATATTTATTCTTCTGTGTTATACCAGGCTTACTTGAATTGAAGTTATGTCTTCAGTAAGCATTTAAGTGTTCTAAACATCTCATTCTTTTTAATAGGAAATACAAAAAGTATTTGTGGCCTAATACATTTATATAAAGTCCTAAAAAAATTTCAACAAAATGTCAATGCTCAATCTAGCATTATCTTGATGACTTTGAGACAGAGTACCTGAGACCTTTTGTTATAATTTTGCTTTGGAATCTAATAACGTTAGTCAGGCCATCTCTAACAGGGATTCTACAGTTTGATTAATAGCATCTCCATTCAACTAGTTGTTCAATCTAGAAATATTACTGTCATTTTAAATCCTTCTTCTTTCTTATAATTCATATCTAGTTACTGAGTCTCATAAACTGTACATTCATAAGAATTTTCAGTTCTCTCCTCTTCTCTTTATTCTGGCTGCCACTGCCCTAATTAAAGCCAGGTGGCCTTTCTGGTCTATAGCAAAAATACCCTAACTGGTCTCCCAGTTACCAGTACTCCTGTACTTCAGTCCTTTCTTCATACTGTTGACAATAATATTTTCCAAGACTTGCATATAATTTGTTATGCCCCTATTTAATTTAATCAGTATTATTCCCTTAAACCAATCCCTTACTTGCTACAGAAATACCTTCAAATTTCTTGAAGTGCCACCCAACTACCTTCACAATTAAGGGCCCTTCCACTGCTCCTCATCCTCATTCCAAACTGTCTACATTTCTATGAACATGCTGTTCACTTTGCTAAATTTCCACATCTTTTTCTCTTCTGTTTGTTTCCTCTGTCAAGACATTTTCCCCTCAACAGTGTGCCTAATGAAACATTTTAATATTTGGTTCAAATATAACCTTTTTTGTGAAGCCTTCTCCAAACCTCTGGTATTTGGTACATTCATATTTCTTCTTCAGACCTTTATGACAGTACTAATGCCCTGAATAGCAAGAAAGCATAGGCGTGCCTACCTTGTAAAAGGGTAAGCTCTTTGAAAGCAAGAGTTCTGCTATTTCAATGAATGTCCATGGTCATTATAAAGTCAAATAATCAGTGTATGATATTTTGCACCCTAGGATCCTCTAAGAAGTTAGGTGTTTCAGAGATTTTTGTTTTTAAAAGTGCTTTATATCATTTAATTGATACCTCTTAAATTCTGAGACTTATTTCTTAATTGACATACTCTATAGCCTTGAAGAGGTACTTTTTGAGTTGCAATATTCTAGTTACATAATTTGATGTTAATTCTGTAGTCACACTGAAATTAAAATAGCACTGTGCTAGGCCTCTCAGTCTCTATAATCATATATAATAGAAGAACATACCTGGAATTTGGATGTCAAATCTGATCCAACAAAACCTATATTGGCTTCAAAATTTGTGTCACTCTACCAATTTTATTTTATTAATGTCTTAAATTTAGTTATGAGCTTCCTGTTTTAAAAAGGAGTTAAAATATTATTTAATAAGGGATTTCAATTATATCTATATAGGCATATAAAAAGTCTAGTAGTTATTTCTTATTTTACTCTTTATATCTGTTTTTATTTTTTTAGTAGATCATATTTGTTGCAATTTTTATAAATATTATGCTGCATACTATTTATGTAGTAATTTTAAACACTCTTCTCCAAGGTTGGAAATAGTATGCATAATAAAAAATCTTATATGCATTATTCTATAACTTGAAAAGTTGCTTCAATATACATTTATGAAAACAAAATAGATGATAATTAAGGCCTTGAAAAAGGAATTGTGATATTTTCCAATTAGAAAATAGAGTTGAAAATGTTGTTTTTTCTAAAATGAACAATTTATTTTCAGACTTGATAGACTTATTCTCATGAAGCTTTTTCATAAAATTAAAAGATTAATAGATACTGGTACCTTATATGTCAGACTCAGAGATATTAATTTATTTTTCCTTAAAATTGTATTTCTTTGTTGAAGAAATAAGTGAAAATATGATCAATAAATTAATACAGAGCATTTCTACAAATCAATCAGAGTAAGGGTGTAATATGTTTCATTCATATTATTAGATTTGCATCCATTCTAGAATCATTGGATACAGTGAAATTTCCAAGGAAATCTCATAGAAAAATAAAAGCAGGCTAAATAATGGATGTGACTCTTAAAATAATGTGAAAAAAAGAAGAGAATAAAAACATCTTGAATTATAGTTTTCCAGATTTATTTTTCATTGAAGCTGACTGTCAAATAGTTAATGGTGAAGATTTTGTTTAAAAAATAACTGAATATAGTATAATTTTATAAAGTATTAGCTTTAATATCACTGAAGAGAGACTTTGAGACTGAACCTCTTGAAATAATAAGCAAATTGATGAGTTGGATGAATAGATTTGGGTCATTCATAAATGCTTAAACTATTTGTGAGTTGAGATCATGTAATTTACAGATGATAGTTTGGTTCTTAACATCTTAGCTTTTTATTTTTGCTCATATTTTCCCCAAGTATCATTCAGAAAAAGGTTGAGAGTGTACTTATACATCTTCAGAGAACCTATATTGTTCATTTTTAAGTATGACCAAATCATTTCATAACATTTCCTGCAAGGAAAAGGAAAAGGTCATTTCATAACCACTGGTTCTTCACTGTCACTTAACTGATTGCACTGTTGCCCTACACAGAACTGCATTCAAAGGAGTTAAGTAGTGACACATCAAAAATACCTCAGGCAAAGGCAGAATTGTTGTGAGGGGAGTCATGGTATGGACCTCAAGCATGATGTTAAAGTCCCAGTACAATGGAAGAAAGTCAAATACAAGGATTTTTGTGTTTTTTAACGAGGCACTCAGATAAGGCAAATACTTCTCAATTAAATAATGATGTTAATTTGGAAAAACAACAAATAAGAGCAGAAAAATTAGGAAAACAAAAACAGAATTACTCAAACAAGATTGAAAACAGTAAGAGTAAATAAACTAAATTGGAAAAGTACATGAAAACTTACAGTTGTTGTATAAGCAGCTTCTGGATCATCTTCCAGCACCCGGGAGAGACCAAAATCAGAAACTTTGCAAACTAAGTTGCTGTTGACCAATATATTTCTTGCTGCTAGATCCCGATGAACATAACCCATATCGGAAAGATACTTCATTCCTGATGCAATGCCTCGGAGCATACCGACCAACTGGATGACTGTGAAGTGGCCATCATGTTTCTGAAAGAGAATCATAATCATTTACGTTGATTTTAATGTCATGTGTATGCATGCATGCTGCATAAGTACACTAAATAAAATCCTTGAGTTACTTTTATTGGATCCAGTGAATATAAGCATCAATTCTGCTGACTGTTGACTATGCTCATAATGAAATGTAAGAATTTGTTTGACATTCAAAGGAAAGGAAAGTCTATCTGGAAATTATGAAGGAAAACAAAGGACTGATGGGGACTAACCAAAAACTTCTGGAAAAAAGATTACAAAAACTTTAAGTAACAAGAGGGAACAGAAGTCAAAAATGATAATAGCAATGGTTACCAAGAATATAGAATTCACTTTGCGTAGCTGTGAGCTCTGAACCAGCTGTTCAGGTGGCACAAGAATGACAAAACCTAGAACTGGATAAAAGCTGTGTGATAGTTGGAAATGCAATAAAAAATGATCACTCAGGAAAAAGAAAAATTGATTGCATAGGCAAGAAACAAGTTTAGGGAAGCTGCAGGAGAAGGATAAAAACACAGGCAAACTATTAAATAACTGTATTTTCCCATTCTTTTATTGTACAGCAAATAGAAAGGAGGCTGTTGGCAAGTAACTGAAAACAGTTAATGTAGCTCCCAGTTGTGAAGATTAAATGAAATAATATTAGTAACAAGCTAGGAACAATACTGGTATGTAATAGTCAATCCCTTGACTACTAATTCCTTTCACTTTGATTTAAAAATGATATGCTTTTTTAAAAAAGGTAAAAAAAAACCAATTATGATCCATGCAAAATGTGTGCACCAATGAAACCAGATACAAATAGTACCTTAGAAATGAAGAGAAAATAAAAATAAACATACTCTAAGTTTGAAAAATATGTGTATTTCTCTGTTTAGTTATTTGGAGACTATTGTCTTTAGTGGAGTTTTAGAGAAACAAAATATTCTCAAATTGGTTTTATATATCAGGTAACATTTATTTATGAATGATGTTAAAATTAATATCTAGTAAGGGACTATAGGGCTATAATACCTTATGTTTTTGTGGTTATTATACAGAATCATAAATAATAGTATCTTAAACTTTGCAAAGTTGAAAAATTTTCATGGATATCTGATTTAAAACTATAGAGTAGTTTAACACAGGGATGATATGAGCATATCACAGTGACACAGTCTCCTACAACAATGATTCATTGGTCAGTTAGATGAAAAAGTTTATACTACAAATGAAATAAACTTTGTCTTACTATATCAACTTATCTTCCTGAGAGCTCTCTGACAATATCTCCCAACTCAAGTGCAGAGTAAGGAAAAGAACTCTCTTTTAAAAGAAACATTCTATAGAAAGTATCTATTTAAGCAGACTCTTCTGTATAATTAATGTATAAAAGACAATCTAGCAAAGAAAATGTTTGGTGTTATTAGCTCTTCATGTTTCTAATCCATCTTCTTAGACAGTGAACAATTAGTTGAAACCTGCCTCTTCTATCATGTACCCTACTACTGCTCCTCTATTAGGAATCTCAAAGACTTGGAGTAGAATTGAAAGTGCAAATTCTTTTGGCCTAGAAATGATTACACTGAATTTAAAGATTTGGTTCTTTTACCTATTATAAAATGAAATTGCCTGGTATCATAGCTCTTGTCAATGTAGAAATGTTAATGGATCAACTGAAAACCAAGGAATGCCTCAGTTTTCTTATCTGTTCAAAGAGAATAAAATAATCTAACTCGAGTAGTGACAATCGCATATGAAACACATAGTACAGCCTCTGATTTATTTTAATTATAGCTACTATTTAATAAAACTTGTTTTTATTATATGTAGTTTTTGTAATTTTAATGAGTCAGAAAATTCCTCTCTCCCTTTCCTGAAAAATCAGTCAGTAACATAAACTCTTATATCATGAAGAGAAATAATTGCTTAACACCAGGTTGAAATTCAATTATCCTATCTATTTCAAGGGTGGCACAAAATACCATGTCATGCCTTTTTTTAGAAAATCCTTTATCCTATCTATTTCAAGGGTGGCACAAAATACCATGTCATGTCTTTTTTTAGAAAAGCCTTTATTTTGTTTGAGGCATTTTAGGTTCACAGCAAAATTAAAAGGAAAGTACAGATATTTCCCATACATCCTCTGCCCCCACAAATGCATAACTTCCCCCAGTAAGAACATCCCTCACTAGAGTCATACATTTGTTATAACTGATGATCCTATACTGACACACATTATTACCACCCAAAGCCCATGATTTATATTAGGGTTCATTCTTGGTGTGTATTTTTCAGGTTTAGGCAAATTTATAACGACATTATACTATCATGTAGTGTATTTTCACTGCACTAAAAATTCCCAGGGCTCCACCTATTGATACCCTCTATCTCTAACCCTGGCAGCCACCGATCTTTTCACTTCCTTCATAGTTTTGTCTTTTCCATAATGTCATATAGTAGAATCATATAATATGTAATCTTTTCAGATTGGCTTCTTAGACTTAATGATATGACTTTAAGTTTCCTCCATGTCTTTTCATGGCTTGATAACTCATTTCTTTTTAGTGCTAAATAATGTCCCATTGTCTGGATATACCACAGTTCATTGATCCATTCATCTACTGAAGTATGTCTTGTTTCAAGTTTTGACAATTACAAATAAAGCTACTATAAACATTTGTGTTTATAGCAGTTTATAGCTGTAGGCTTTTATGTGGACACGTTTTCAACTCCTCTGGGTAAATACCAAGGAGGGTGATAGCTGTAACATCTAGTAAAAGTATGTTTAGTTTTATAAGAAATTGCCAAATGATCTTCCAAAGTGACTGTACCATTCTGTATTCCCACAAGCAATGAAGGAGCATTCCTGATGCTCCACATTCTCATCAGCATTTGGTATTGTCAGTATTACTGATTTTGGCCATTCTAATAGGTGCATACTGAATGTTTCTTGTTTCAATTTGCATTTCCCTGATGACACATGATCTTTTCATGGGCTTATTAGGCAACTGTATAACATCTTTGGTGAGGTATCTGCTAAGGCCTTTGGTCCATTTTTTAATTGGGTTATTTTCTTATTGCTGAGCTTTAACAGTTCCTTTTATATTTTAGATAATATTCCTTTTTTGGATGTGTCTTTGGCAAATATTTCCCCCCAGTCTGTAGCTTGTCTTCTCATTCTCTTGACATTGCCTTTTGAAGAGCAGAAATTCTAAATATTAATGAAGTCCAGCTTATCAAATACTTCTTTCTTGGATTGTGCCTTTAATGTTATATCTAAAAAGTCATTGCCATACACAATGTCACGTCGGCTTTCACATCTGTTATCTTCTAGGAATTTCATGATTTTGCATTTTACATTTAGATCTGCAATCCATTTTGAGGTTTTTTTTTTTTCTTTTGGTGAAGGGTGTAAGGATCTGTGTTTATATTCATTTATTTCTTTGCATTTGTACATGTGGATATCCAGTCGTTCTAACACCATTTGCTGAAAAGACTGGAGTTGCTTTTCATGGAATTGCCTTTGTTTCTTTGTCAAAGACCAACTGACTATGTTTAGTATAGGCTATTTATTCTGTTCCTTTGATCTCTTTGTCTATACCACACTTTGCCATACCACACTTTTAAGATTGCTGTAACTTTAGAATAAATCTTGATGTCAAGTAATATCAATCCTTTAACTTTGTTCTGTTCCTTCAATTCTGTGTTAGCCACTCTGAGTCTTTTGCCTCTACATATAACTTTAGAATCAGGTTGTTGATATTTGCAAAATAATTTACTGGGATTTTGATTGGGATTACACTGAAATTATAAAGTTAGGAAGTAGTGACATCTTAACAATATTGTGTTTCCCTACCCATGAACATGGAGTATTTCATCTCCCCATTAATTTAGTTCTTCTTTGATTTCATGTATCAGGTTTTGTAGTTTTCCTCATATATATCTTATACATATAAGATTTATACCTAAGTATTTCATTTTTTGGGGTGCTATTGTAAATGATACTGTGTTTTTTATTTCAAATTCAACTTGTTCATTGCTGGTATACAGGAAAGCAATTCATTTTTGTATATTAAACTTGTGTCCTGAAGACTTACTATAACTGCTTATTAGTCAATTTTTTTTGTCAGTTTTTTAAGATTTTCTACATAGATGATCATGTCATCTGTGAAGAAAGTTTTATTTCTTCCTTTCAGGTGTCACTTTTTATTTCCTTTTCTTGTGTTATTACATTATCTAGGAATTCCAGTATAATGTTAAAAAAGACATGAGAGGCAACATCTTTGACTTGTTCCTGATCTTAGTGAGAGAGCTTCAAGTTTTTCACCACTAAGTATGATGTTAGCTTTAGGTTTTCTTGTACATAGCCTTTCTCAAGGTTAGGAACTGCTTCCACCCCCCAATCCCTAGTTTACTGAGAATTTTTGTCATGAATTGGTGTGAGATTTTGTCCAGTGCTTTTCTTCATCTATTGATATGATCATGTGAGTTTTCATTTTTGGTCATTTGATGTGATAGATGACATTAATTGATTTTCAAAATCTGAACCAGTCTTGAATACCTGAGATAAATTCCAGTTGGTTGGTATATAATACTTTTATACAGTGTTGGCTTCAATTTGCTAATATTTCATTCCAAGTTATGTTTTAACAGCTTTATTGAGATATAATCACATACTATATAATTTTTACTGTTAAAGTATACAGTTTTATAGTGCATTCATGTAACTGTGTAATCATCATAATCATTTTAGGATATTTTCATCATTCCCCCAAAAACTTTCTGCAATATAAAAGTAGTTATTATCTCTGTTTTATATATGGTCAAACTGAAGGACAAAGGGATTTAATAACTTAGGAAATGGTGGAGTCATGATTTGAATCAAGCAGTCTAATTTCAGAGCCTGTATTCACTTATCAGAATTTTCTGAAAAAGAGTTAGCTCAAACTCTGCCATAAAAACATGGTCTGGAATAGTTCTTGTGGCAAAATTTGGCTTAATAAAGCAAGGTA